CAGCGTGGTGCCGCTGAGCACCTCGATGCAGCATTCCTGGTCCGCCCGGCTGAGCGGCCGCACGCGGCAGTACACCTGGGAGAAGGGAAAACGGGAATCAATCAGCCGGGAATAAACCGGGAATCAGCCGGGAATCAACCGGGAATCCACCGGGAATCAGCCGAGAATCAACCGAGAATCAACCGGGAATCAGCCGGGAATCAGCCCGCTGTACACCTGGGAGAAGGGGAAAACGGGAATCAATCAGCCGGGAATAAACCGGGAATCAACCCACTGTACACCTGGGAGAAGGGGAAAACGGGGATCAGCCGGGAACAAACCGGGAATAAACCGGGAATCAACCCACTGTACACCTGGGAGAAGGGGAAAACGGGAATCAATCAGCTGGGAATCCACCGGGAATGCACCAGGAATCAACCCACTGTACACCTGGGAGAAGGGGAAAACGGGGATCAGCCGGGAATAAACCGGGAATAAACCGGGAATCCACCGGGAATCAGCCGGGAATCAGCCGGGAATCAACCCGCTGTACACCTGGGAGAAGGGGAAAACAGGGATCAGCCGGGAACAAACCGGGAATAAACCGGGAATCCACCAGGAATCAACCGAGAACCAACCCGGCTGTACACCTGGGAGAAGGGGAAAACGGGGATCAGCCGGGAATGCACCGGGAATAAACCGGGAATCCACCGGGAATCAACCGAGAGTCAACCGAGAATCAACTGGGAACCAACCCGGCTGTACACCTGGGAGAAGGGGAAAACAGGAATCAATCAGCCGGGAATCAACCTGGAATCAACCCGGCTGTACACCTGGGAGAGTGGGAATAAACCAGGAAAAAACAGGAATCAAGCGGGCAGTACACCTGGGAATGAAGCCTGGGTTAAAGCCGGGAATTTCTCACTGTAGGAATCGGGGATCTCGGGATGATCCGGCAGTAAAACCGGGAATTTCTGGGTGCGGGAATCGGGATCCCGGGACCATCCCGGCAGTAAAACCGGGAATTTCCCGGTGTGGGAATCGGGATGATCCCGGCAGTAAAACCGGGAATTTCTGGCTGTAGGAATCGGGATCCCGGGACCATCCCGGCACTCACCCCCACCGGGTCCTTCTGCGCGGGGTT